GGGTTAACAGAAACATCAGTTCATACAGGAAGAAGGCTTTGGGTGTCATCTGGGATTGGGTGGGGACAATGTGGGAATTCCAGAGCTCCTACCTCGCTTGCTGTTTGCAACGTGGACAGAAGGGGCAGTGGACAATGCAACTTGAGGAGCTACTAGACAAATTAAAAGAAACAAAGAAACAAACAAAAAAAACCCCATGATATTGCAATTCAACATAACACATGTAATGCCAGAGAATTAAGGATACCAAGCATCACGCCTAATAAAAATATAACAATAAAAAAGAAAAGAAAAGAAAGGAAACATACGCAATAAAGATGAATGATGGCATTGAGAAATAAGGAGTGACATTGCCAAGTGAAGCTGGCTGCGTGTAGCAGCATCTGTTACAAATGCCTTCGATTCAACAATTCAAATATTATGGACCCTCTTTTACGCTTCATTTCATTAACAAGTGCTTAGTATAATTCAAAACTGTCTGTGTATGTTTCCCCAGACAGAAACTATACCCTGACAAACTACTCTCCACCTCGTTGGAGGCCAGCCAAGAATTTTCACACTATAAATTTGTGCACAGCTGCGTGGGTAAGGAAACTGGCTAGCAGTGAACACATCAATCCCTCCCATTCTTTTACGGCTATAAAGCAAACAGTGGGGAAAAGGAAATAATGGGCCCGGCCTCTGCCATTGTACCAGGTGACATAAGCCCTTGCCGCATACATTGTGAGCGCTTGGCTGCAGTCATGGAAACACAGAGCTGAACGGTTGTGCGCTAGTTGTGAGGCGGCTGAACACGGCATCTACATGATGGATTAAGCTAAGATGAGCCCAACACTTTCAAAAAAAGACAAAAGTGAAACCTCTCCTGCTTTTCTATCTAATGAGCTAACACGGTGCTGAGAGCTGAGCACCTAACTGAAACAGTGTTGATGTAAAAATCAGAGCTGCAGCAACCTCTTGAGCCTCCATACTGAGTGCGACAGGCTGACTTATAATGTTTTTGGGCTTTTCAAGAAGCCAGGAAAAAGGGAAGGATAGTTTGGGCTACCAAAGAGTCATTTTTGACAACTATACAAACACCTGAAGTAAATGAATCTGCAAAACAAAAACATAATTGTTGCATAATCTTAGATGCCTACCTTCTTTTCGGTTAGCGACACCTAGGGATGACACATTCGGCCGAACTGCGTGCAATTGAGAGAAATCAGGAGTTAATGACGTGTCCTCGTGCGATGCACTTTACAGATCATCTAAAGAGGGGAGACTATGTGGTAGTGGACACAGACAACTGGAGATATGAACATGTCCAGCATGACTCAGATCTGTAAATCAGGAAACAGCACGATGGGGGCAGGGCTGACATGGACGGGCAGAGAATGCATCCAAAGAGCCATTAAAAGGACGTCGGAGAGACGTTGTATGTAATTTGTGTGACGTCCATGACCTTGCTGTGCAACTGTATGTTTATGGCAATGGCAATGATGAGTGGGAAAAAAAACTGAAGAAAAAAGATCAAGAAAAAAACCCAAACTCAGTTAAACTTAGTATTTAGGTCATGATTTATGCAAGGGACTCTATGTATAGCAAATGAAGACGTTAGGGGGCATTTTGTTTAATTCATCACATTGACTGAGTAATCAATATCTAATTACAGTGTATTTCTGGTGGAGGAATAACAATGAATAAATAATGGCAGGTGTTGGGACTTGGAATGACGGACTGCTGTGGGTAGCATAACCTCATAATTACATACAAGTCAGTATTTCCGTGTCAGGGAAATACTTTGCGGTTGGAAATGGAGAGGACCCAAGCAAAGGGAGGAATACGGATAAGTTTCCTCATCGTGCCCCTTCATCTCTTCACTTGATCTTTCTGTCCTTTCGCTATTGACTCCATGAATCATGCAATCTTGGGTAATTAACATCCAGCGGTGTCTTGGCAAGAAGCCACTTACTCTAACTATGTGTGAATAGAGAATATGACTGCTGTTCACCAAGTGCAATCTTTTAAATAATGACTTTTTTCCCTTGTGAAATAATGTTTTTTTTTAATATTTTTTTGTAAGTGGGCTGGATTTCAATAAAACATTAGTTTTGAGGTTTGTATGTCTTTACAGAGTGACAGTCGCTTTAAATACCCTCAGTGCTGATTTCAAAACTGCTCGAACAAAAGAAGGATTTGATTCTTCGTGGGGATTCTGGCATCGGTGACGACTTTGACGTCTCCGCTGGGTCTGAGTCACACGAGGCACAGAATGAAATGCTGTTTGAAAACGAGATATTAACAAATAAAGAGCTTTTTAAAAAAGCTCTTTTTTGAAATCTACTTTGAAATACTTTGTTCGTGTGATAATCACTTAGCAGTGAAGCCGTTTTGTCAAAACAGCTGCAAAAAGCAGGCTCTGCCAGGAACATTTGGAGGGGAAAAAAACGTGAGAACGCTGCTTTCTCTAGATCTGTCGAAACGCTGATCTAATTGCTAAAGTATGATGATATTTAATCACAACCTGTTTCCAAAAAAAGTTGTGGTGCTGTGTGAAATGTAATTCAACATAAAGCACAATCCTTGTCAAACCATTTACCTGAAAACGGCACAAAGACATTGAAAAAAAAAAAAATCCAGGTTTGATCATTTTAAATTTGCTGCCAGCATCAAGCAAAGAAGACTGAGTAAACAAAAGCCTGGAACCTGTGTAGCATCAAAAATAAAACAAAGTAAGACAAAAATATTAAACAACTGTTGAAACATCTCCTAACTAATTGGTTATATTAGCATAAGGTCAGTAACACGACCGATTATCAAAAAGAGCAAGAAAGCCTCTCAGAGGAAGCGATGGAGAGGCGTCTGCTCCTCTGTGTATTACTGGGTGTGCAAACAGTTCAACAACGATTCTCTGTGCTAAATTTGAAAGGGATTTAATAATAC